TCGAGTCCCCTCGTTGTCTCAGAAGTCTCAAGAAAGTCTAGCTATACTCGTCGAGTTGACCCCCAACTCGCCGAGTTATCACACAATCAAACCCATCGGGACAAACCATCAACGACTCGTCGAGTCAGGCCATGGACTCGGCGAGTCCCTTCGATCGGATTCCTCATTCAGACGATTTAAGGCAGATCTATTACTCCAAACACTAGATTTACCATCCTAAGGGTCGATTGTCACGTAAAGCTGCAAGCTTTACGTTCAAACATGACATATAAGGCTTATAATGCCAATACATGCTCCAACAAGGCACCAAAACACAATAACTCTTTAAGTGACTGAATAAAGCTTGAGACTTTGGACCCTCTGGACCTCACAAGGTCCAGATCTGAAGTCTAGACCTAGAAAGGGACTTCATGTACTCATATATCAACAAAAAGGTGATAGAAAGCCCTATTCATCAAAACATGAGAAACATCACCACAAGGAGAAAGGTGGGGACTTTTTACCTTCTCCAGAAGCTCTTGGATGAAATAACACTGATCCACTAGCCCCTTCTTGTTCCTTAGTGACTCCTTTCCTCCTCTTCAAAAGAAATGTACCAAAAGACCCCAAAATTAGCTTATTTTCCACTTTTTAGCTCAAAAGGACTTTAGGGTTTACTCTCAGTGAAGGTGAACCGCAAATGAGGCTATAAGTTCCCTTATCTAGGCCCTAACCCCAGGAAATTAGGGTTTCTCTGCCCAGCACCTATTCGGCGAGTCAGCTCTCTGACTCGTCGAGTCCACTCATTAAATCCACGCTGGCAACTCAGCCCTACTTAGCGAGTCGGGCTCACGACTCGTCGAGTCACTCCATAAGTCTCAAGGTTAAACACACATTAAGGTATACAAAAGTCCGGATGTTACGGTACAAATTGAAATATATATATATATATATATATATATATATATATATATATATATATATATATATATATATATATATATATTACCATATGAAGTCATTTTTTTAGCTTAACCTAGAGAACTAACCATTATAACTGAATGCGTAGAAAAAAACAAGTTAAATTGTCAAATATGGATAAAAAAAATCAGTAACTAAATGCGTATAAAATAAAAAGTATATTACCATATTAAATATTTTCCCTTAATAACTATGCAAATATTTCATTATTTGGAAAAAACATACATAACTAAAATAAAAACATAATAATAGTACAAAGTAAAACAAAAAACAATACCACTTTAGCTAAGATATTTTTTCTTAATGTCCATGTTCAACATTAATATCATTTGTAGTTTTTGTTTTTGCCTAAAAAGTGGTTTGTATTTTACATAACAAATTTATATCTTTGAGACAACGATTTATCATTATGCGCATTTTGTTTGTCATCACGTGTCTTCTTTTTCCTCGTGCATATTTTTTTTTCTTGCTAATTTTTATTTTCAAAAGTCAACGTTTGTTTAAATTCAATTTATATTGTTTGAAGCTTATCACCATCAGTAGCGGAGCTAGGATTTTAGGATAACGGGGGCTTACACCGTTTATAAACACAAATTCTCATCATTATTCTACTGGTATTAAAAAACTAATTAGAACATAAATATATATCTTACTTTCATCAATTTTAGAGAAAAAAGAACTAAATAAATTTTATAAGATTATAAGTAGTATTTTACTTGTTTTACGTCGAGACCATCTTTTATCTTAAAGAAGAGAAATCATCTATAACTTTATATATGGATAATAAAAAGCTACTAATTATATACCAGTTAATAGTCAATTAACATAGAAATTTAAGAACAAAATGTACCTATTAATCTACGATTAAAAGAATATTGACATGAATTAAAATAAATGGGTATACGGAATAGGCAATTAAGTTAAATGGATATGTATTATGTAGCATTTTTTCCATTAAGATTGTGGGCCTTATTTTTAGTTGTAATTGACAAAGGCTTATTATTTTTTTAATATAATAGTAGAGCTTGAAAAAAAATTGAGAGGGGCTTAGTAATATTGATAGATGTTGTGGGCTTCAACTTATTCATCAATTTATTAACTATATATATGTTAAGAACTTTGAAAGGGATTAAGGGGGGCAAAGCATCCGGCAGCCCCCCTATTGGCTCCGCCCTGATCACCATTTTTTACATTTCCTTTACTTCACCAAAACTCAATGCATTTGAAGAAGACTTTTTCCTTTTCATTTTGTCCCTATCCATTGAACGGACAATCTCTTCTAATTTGAACCCGTTATCTTCAATTAAGTTTAACCCGACACGAACATTGAAGAACTTGTGTAACTTCTTGATGATATTTTTGTTCTTTTTCCAGGAGTGATTTAACATCTTTCTTTTGCATCTCTACATTTCAGACTAAGTGTTAACAATTTCTAAGGGTCATTATATTTAAATGGCATACCGTTGTTGCCCATGCGAAATAATTCATATTTCTTTTAGAGAATTTATTTATCACTTTGTCTGCTTTTCCTTTAACTTCTTAGGTTGTTGTATGTTAGATTTTAAGGGATTGGAATAACAATAACTTGGATAATTTATTAGATCGTGTTTGGAAAACACTTTTGAAATATGTAATTCGACCCTTATTCTTGGATTACAAGAACACGGACCTATGGGATAATCCAAGAGATCGAACCAGACTACAAGACTAATTTGATTCATAAATAAATAATACCATGTGTATGTTTTGGGTTCTTTGAGACATTTTGATGCAAAGAGAAAGAGCCAGATTTCGGTTGTTATGTTGTGTCACCTCTTCATGAAACCTCCAACTTCCTTTTTATACATGAAAGATGGTTGTTAATGGTAGTTATAATGGAAAAACCAATGCCATGTCATCATAATGAAATTCACTACTTTTGGTGGGAAATATATATTTGGGCCCTTTTCCTCTGGGGCACTACCCCTTGCAACCTTGTACCTAGGATCGGGTGTTGTTCCCGGACCCACTGTATTCTCAAGTCAATATTTATCACTCAAAGTATGCACCATGCATAGTTTATCTTGATAGTAAATTGAATGGTTAGCCAAAAGATATACAACCTTCTAAAGCATACAAATTTCTGTATGATGAAAAGTTGTATACCGAGCAACTCTCATAAATAATAGATTAGTCAAAAGATGCTTAAAGCTTCCATAATGTGTATTTTAATGGATTGGTTAAATGTGTTGAAACCTTTAGGTGTTGTTTAATGAATTAAACTCAATCATAATAGATGTTATATTGTCATTCAATAAAAATATAGAGTTCAATCAGTGCTAGACCTGGAGATTTAAATATCTTCAATTACCTTAAAATGGTTATTATTGTTATTATAAGTTGTTTTTTTAAATAAATATATTTGCATATAAAATATAATAAAAAAGTTGGGCCTAAAAAAATTGAACCCTATACAGTTGTCCACTTTACCGCTCGTTCAACGCGTCCTATGAGTTCAATATTTATTCCACTATGCCCCTCCTTCAACGGGTCGTATGAGTTCAATATTTATTGATATATAATTAACAAATAATGATTTTTTTAATAAAATATTATATAGTATCTTTGTAGAATTTAGTGCAAAAAGAAAATAATGTGTCAATAGTTCAATGAATCTTATAATTTGTATAAGGGGATGCTTAGCTGCCATTTTTGTCCTATACAACCAAACATTCCACGATTTTTTACTCTATTAATCTTCTCCAACTACCTCGTTAATTTTGTATTCATAATGATTTCGTTTTCTGACAAATCTTGGGCAGTTAACATGCAATATAATGGTTAATAACTTTTGGGTCTGTGCATCGAAAAGTTAGGATCTAGATGCAAAAGATGAAGGAAGATACAGCTCAAGTGAAGGTTGCTGTGCCCATCAAAGACTTATGGAAGGCGATGTCGAGTGACATCAGGCACATAACTACCAAGATTTTACCGGACATCGTGGAAGAAGTCGAGTTGCTTGAAGGAGATGGTGGCTTTGGAAGCATTCTAGTCTTCAAATTCTTTCCTCGTAAGTCTTGATTCCTTGTTGTGTTCATGTTTATGGCTTGCTGACTTTTGGTAGTATATATATATGATCAATTTCTTGATATTTCTTCTGTCAGATGTTCCGAAAGTGAGCTTCCAAAGGGAGAGGATTGTGGAGTTTGACGAATCACTGCATCAGATCGCTCTTGAAATACTGGAAGGAGGGCATCTGGATCATGGGTTCTCCTCATACACGACTGGTTTTAAGTTAACTGCAGTAGGAGAAGGGGAGACACTCATCGACGTGAAGGTTTTGTATGAGACAAAACCAGATTATACTCATATCCCAGGCGATACAATAAAAGCAACATTCCTTTACATCAAAAACCTTGAAAATTATCTGTTGAACGCTCCTTCTTGATTTGATTTTGTTGAAATGTTCTTCTCATGTGTTTGTTATTCGGAGTCTATGAAAAGTTAAATAAAGGAAGCACTCTACTAAGATGGTTATTAATTTCGCTTGGAAACAATCCCCTTTCCATTTAACTAAACTAACCGCATACCAAGAAGATGCAAACAATCGTGGGATTTTGAATAGTAAAGTGGTGATTTCACTGAAAAGTTTGTGATTCAAGAGAAATGTCTGAATATCTAATTTATAAATTAAAATATAATTAAGAAGCGACTATAACCAAGGACATTGGCTTTATTATCATCTGCCAAAAAGATGCTTAGATCAATATGGAAAGATATGCTTTGTGGCCAATTTTGTCCTATACCACCTAAGATTCGTACATATTTACTTTATTAATACCTAACCTCATTTTGTGTTGATACACAATTCATCATCCGACGAATCTTGACCAGTTAACATGCAATATATAATTTCTCAGAACACATGGTCGACACATCGAATAGGCTAAAGATGAAGGAACATATAGTTCAGCTGAAGGTTTGTGTGCCCATCAGAGACTTATGGAAGGTTATGTCGAGCGACCTAATTAAGGCACGTAGTGGCCAAGGTTTTACCAGATATGGTGAAGAAAGTCGAGATTCTTGAAGGAGATGGCGGCCTTGGAAGCATATTACTCTTCAAATTCTCCCCACGTAAGTCTTGATTCCTTGTTTGGATCATGTTTATGGCTTACGTAGAATGATTTCTTGATTTCTTTTTCATGGATTTTTCTGTTAGATGTACCTAAGCTGAACTTCCAGAAGGAGAAGATTGTGGAGTATGATGAATCACTGCATCAGATAGCCTTGAGATACTGGAAGGAGGGCATCTGGATCATGGGCTTACAAGATATACAAATGTTTGTAAGTTAACTGCAATAGGAGAAGCGGAGACTCTGATCGACTTTAAGGTTTTGTATGATATATATCAAACCAGAACATACCCATACCCCTGGTGAAACCACAAAAGAAACATTACATTATCTCAAACTCCTCGAAAATTATATGTTAAATGGTCCATCTTGACTTGATTTAATGGTGTTAAAATATTCTTCTGTGTTTGAGTTTCAAAATCTATGAAATAATAAAAGAAACACACATGTGAAATGGCAAATTATATGAGAAAACAATGTGTTTCTTTTGCTTCCGAACAATACCCTTTCCATCAAGCTAACCACTGCCAAGGAGATCAAAACCGAAGGTTATGTCAAGAATTTCCTGCAATGTGTTGTAACAATGGAAGCAAAACAACGAACTGAAGAGAAACTTAGTTAGAAACTTGAAAAAGATGGCCAATTGATTTGATTTTAATTTATTAACACATATGTACCAAAGAAAAATATAAAGCACACGAATGATATTCTAATGCAATGAACTTTACATGGAAATTTTTTTTTTTTTTTTTTTTTTTTTGCTATAGACAAAACACTAATGAAAGTTATCCAAACATTGAAAAGCATCTTAAATAAAATGATTATGAGAGTTTATTCCCAAAGATCACATATTTCGGAAAACAAGGGTGTATGCACTGCGATTGTCCCGAACTTTTAATTTTAAAGCTGGAGTACCTGAAACAAAAATGAAAATCGTAAGCACAAAGCTTAGGTGTTATTTGGTTCGCAGAATGTTGCTGAAAGAATCTGAATTAGAATTGGAAAAGGAATCTGTCAGGAATTTTGAATCCAATTATATATGTTGTTTGGGTGGCAGGAAATAGAATTGGAATTAATTCCAGAATCTGTTTGGTTCGCAAGAAATGGAATTGAAATTCATATAAAATGACAAAATTGCCCTTTTTTCCCGTTTTGCTTAATTTTACCATGTGATGGTAGTGTTATTAGTGGTGGTGGCAGTGGTGGCTGGTGGCGGTGGCGGTAGTGGTAGCGGCGACGGTGGCAGTGTTGGTAGTGGTGGTGGTGGTAGTTTTATTAGTGGTGGTGGGGTGGCGGTGCTGGTGGGTGATGGTAGTGGTGGTGGTGGCGGCGCTGGTGAGTGGGTGGTGGTGGTGGTAGTGGTTGTCGGTGGCAGTGGTAGTGGGCAGTCGTGGCGACGATGGTGGTTGTGAGTGGTGGTCATGGTGGTGGTAGTGGTGGTCGGTGGCAGTGGCGGTGGTGGTGGCAACGACGACGGTGGTAGTGGTTGTGGCGGCAGTGGTGGTGGTGGTGGGCGGCAATGGTGGTAGTGGTGGTGGTGGCGGTGGTGGTAGCAGCGGTGGTGGTGGTGGTGGTCAATGATAGTGGCGGGGGTTTTCTGATAAGTCAAGGGGTATTTTTGTAATCTTCCACTTTCCTTGATGAGAATGAATGTTTTCCATCCAACTTTGGAAGGAATTCACTTTCCTCCATATGGTGGAAAGTTTATTTCATTTAGGAATCCTTTTCCCTCCTTTAAGTCAAACCAAATGCATGAATTTGAGGGAATTGGAATCCTTTTCCCTTGAATTTCATTCCTTTCCTGCCAACCAGATGCACCCTTAGTGAGTTTGCCAAAACATACCACACATGAAACCACATAAGTCCACATAAAACATGCATACAAATATATAAGGATGCCATAGAAACCCTCCACGATCTTATTTCGGTGCCATTGGAACCCCCACATGGTCTTAGCCTGGAGTGCCATGGGCTTCCCCTATAGTCTGATATCCAGTTGTCTCGGGCACCCCCGAGGTCTTCCATACAAGTATCACATAAACAACTAGCATACCACATATTACAAAGAAAACTAGCATACCACATAACACATAATAGGCCGACATTGGTGCCTTCTGTTGGATTAAGTGTCTAAGACCATAACTATAATTGGTGTGTACTTGATTTGATAGTAGCATGGTCTTTTTGGGTTGCCTTCACCCTAGCAACTTGACAAGATGACTTTTGGAGAGAGAGGTTGAATTTATTATTTAGAATAATAAATTGATTTATTAATGTATTATAAAAATAATATATTAATTAGAAATCATGTTATATAATTAGTATTTAATCATAAATTAATTTGGAATTAATTTTTGGATTAAAGGAACTGATTAAAAGAACGGGAGTTGTTTTGCAAATCAGTGATAGTTGTAAAATTGGGCTACTGGAATCCTTACAATGGAGTGGATGAAAATTATAGGAAGCCCAATGAGATTTTCGTCCAAGGCCACTTGTTGAGGAGTCCATGGGTTGCTTAAGCCTTAACCAGGAAATTAGGGTTTCCTCTAGAAAACCCTAGCAGCTCACAACTATATTTAGAACCCCATCACCTATGATTTCCGGCCAATGCTTGTGTATTAGATATCCTAGCCGAAATTCTTAGGGCATTCCTCCTATCTCCTCTCATCTTCTTGCTAGTGGTGTTTGTAAGCCATTAGAGGTACAACATTTGAGGCACTAAGCTTTCAAAAGTCAAGGATCTTCAAGGTGTTCTTGTTATTGCTACATAACAAGTAAGGTAAACATCAAAACCCTTTTATTATGTAATTTTCGAATTATATATGCTAGATCTATGGTTTTTCTTTGATATTCAATTTGCATGCTCAATTAGTGAAAAACTTAGATCCAAAGTAATTAGGGTTGCATGAACACATAGGTTGTTGTTATGCTCATAACTCATCAGTGGTATCAAATCCTAGGATGTTTTTCAGTTGAATTTGATGCATATGTGAATTGTCCAAAGGAGGAGGGAAGTCAATCTGTTCATGGAACTCGACGAGTTCCACATGGGACTCGACAAGTAGGTCCAACTCGATGAGCTCACTGCCTTGAACTCGACGAGTTGACTCATCAGATCCCTGATTTTTTGATTTTCATATCTTGATTTAATTAGGATTATTGCCATAATTCGTTTTTATTGCTTAAAACTGAATTTTCTGAAAAGGTAAAGGTATATCCTTATCAAGATAACTGATATGATCAAATTTTAAGATATTGACAAAATTAATTCATTAATTTAATTATTAAAAATTTGATCTAGTATTTTTGAATAGTTTTAAAAATAAACCCTATGGTTTTACAATTTAACTTTAATTAAATGGTTTAATTTTGAAATCTTAAATTTAAGAACCTTAATATTTTAAAAGGTTTAAAGTACATCCTTATGGATGTTATTAATAATTTAATTAAAGTTGATTTAAAAGATAGTTAATAAATCCATAAATGTTTTAAATTTAATTAAACTAAAAGTTTAATTTATTAAAAGATTAAACCCCTAGTATTTTAAAAGTTTAAATTACATCCTTATACTATTATAGAATTAAAAGTTTAATATATATATATATATATATATATATATACACACACATAAAATGCCAGTCTTACTGTTAGTAGATCTCATTCACAAAATTGATCTATAAGGGGTATTTAAGGAAGCGGCCTACAAAATGACCACCATTGGGTATTCATTCTTACCCACCGTACTCTTGACTAGTGGAGGGTTGTTAGCCAAATGGGTAGGATAGGACACTAAACTCTCATTAAAAGTATAATGATATAAAGTAACTAAACCTTTTCTAAAATCCCATTTTTAGTTACTTTAGGAGAAATGTGAATTTGATGCTAACCCATGAAATTGCACATTGCACCTTATTGGTCGTTAGTGGAGGGTATATGGTTAACCAACACACTAATATGGGACCAATATTGTTGGCAATGGGTGTCTCATAAATTATCATTGATCAATGGAGCGTGTGTGGTTAACCGGCACATTGATTAGGTGATAAATGACATTGAGAATTACAAGCTAATTTGCATGGTTATTCACATCCCGTTTGTGATCCTCGGCATCCCACTCACAAAGTGAGAGCATGATCGAGATTAAACATGTCATTGAATAGTTCAATGAATCTCAAAAGATCTAGGAGTTTCATTTAGATTGAAAATGGTAAATGTTTACCTACCTAAAATAGATTCAAATTTGACTACAACATCCCTCTTCAGAATTCAAATTGAAAATATGGATCCTAGCGTTAATTTAAAATTTTGGGTTAACAATTAAGGATTAAATAAATCAACTAACTTGAATTTTCTTTCTCCCTTTATAGATGTCAAGTTCAAACAACTATGGTCTTCCTTCTCTTTTTGAAGATGATCTTTGTGACAACCCGATATTTCGAGACAATGTAATGTAACACCAGTCAAATTTAGGTCAAAATTTAACTTTCCTAAAATCTTATTTGGGTTAAATAAAGTGTAGGAATCGTATCAAGGTTTTCATACATATAAAGAACACTAAAATTCGAGTTATAACGAAGAAGTTATAACCATTCTAAGATTCCCAACAAAACCGACAATACGGATAGATGTAAAAACGTGAAATTTCGATGCAATGGTTTTTTGGTTTAAGTATCTAAATGAAAGTTGTAGATATCATTAAACCGTAAACACATACATAAAAAGATTGTCCAAGTCTGACTTCGTATGAGGAAATTATGATTTTTCCAAGATCCAGATATAGCAACAGATAGCTAAAAACTCGAAATAGAGATCGAGAGATTTTTGGCCAATACAATCTAAATAAGAATCAAAGACATCAACAATAGTAGTGTAACGGTGAAAAGTCTGACGAAAACGGACATCGGATGAAGGAGTTATGGATTTTTAACGGCCTTTTCCAGTCCCGGGCTGTTAAAAATAAATTAATTAAAAGTAAATTCAAAATTAGCCAACGGAGTCTAAACAAGATTTGTAGAGCACATTTCCACCTACGTGTGCATATAAAGAACGTCGAAAACGGAGCTCGTACGCAAAATTTACGGATTTTACAAGTTTGAGGCCCGAAATTTGAGGTTGTCAGGCTTGCCACGACGTGGCACAGTTGGTCGCGACCCGACAAGTGACTGAGGGTGTCCAATCAATGGAAGAGGATAAGATGACTCACCACGACGTGGCACACCCTTTTCCATGATGTGGCACACAAAATATGCCCCTATAAATAGATCTCAAGGGCTCCGGGTTTCACCTTCAAGTTCTCTTCTTTTTCGCACCAAAACTCTGCGTTTAAGCCCCCGAAGCTCCGGTTTTCACCTTCAAGTTCCGAAGGAAGGTTTTGTGTTCCCGAGATTCCCGAGAAAATCAACTTTTCCAAATCGAAGTTCTGCTCGATTTTCGTCTCACTTCTTCAATCAATCAAGTGAGTTCATACCCCTATAAACTACACTTTCAAATATTTTATAAATGCATTTTATACACTTTAAGAGGGGGAATACAAGTAAACACACGGTTATCATCGTGTGAAAAACATAAATCTTTTGTTATACTCTTTGTTATATAATCAATCACATGTGATTTATAACTGTGTTGTCGATCAAGGGATTTCTTTTACTTTACATTGTCTTATCAAACAAACTACTTTTTAAATCGTTGTATACACTGACATCAAGTCATCAGTATTTATTATTAAACTCATTCAAATGTGTTACGAAATTTCCTTTTAAACTTATATATTTTGTATACATATGTTGATATAAAAGTACTATTCAATCAGTTCAATACCTTTGAGTAGCAAAGGTGTACATTCATTTCTTTAATTACTATAACGGAACTTACTAGTAAACTATAATAGGTATAGTTTAGGAGAATACTATCGTATACAAATATTATAACATAGAATACTATAATTAAAGGAACATACTAATATACTATGACAACGGGAACATACTAATATACTATGACAAAGAGAACATACTAAAATACTATAGTATAAGAACACTTACGGATCTAACTATACCAACGTTTTATTTACAAGTATGCATTCTTCATAACAAAGATAATCTTTTCATACAAAAGGTATTTCTTTATATTGCTCGTGAACTTGTTGTTAGCAATCATGTAAGACATATGGCTTTGTTAGTACTAAAACGAAAGTCCCCATCTTTAACCAGAGTCTCCTGGAGGGAGAGCGTGAATTTGTGTATAGATCTATACGGGTTTGACGAACCCACACCTAAACTGTAAGCTCCAGTTAGACCCGTAGGTCTGGGGTGACAAATGTCGACATTAGTACCACATCTAGTATGGTTATGAGAAACTTACAAACCGCAGAAACAACAACTCTTGTACGTAGTTATATACATTTAACTCAATCATGCCCAGGGGTAATAACTATACCATGGGATATTATTAGCATGTTCATAATTCAGGATAAACACCCTTTTAACCAGTTCTACTTAAACAAAAGACTCACAGGGAGTATTAAAAATATATTGGTTTACAGAGTTAAGTGCCTTAGTGATTTTATACATACATAAATCTATTAT